TTGGGGGGGGGGGATTGGGAGACTAGGGAAAAAAAAAACTTTTTTCACAAGTTTTTATTTTTATAACATAGTATAAAAATATTTATATACAATTTTTTTTCCCTAATTTTGTTTTACACTTTGTAAAACAAAAAACTTATTTTTTTGGTCAGTTTATATCAAGCAGTCACTAGGACTGCTTGATAAATTAACTTTTTAAATTTTTGTCTATTATTAGGCTGCTCCAAACTTGGGAACAGCTAATAACCACCTTAGAGACTGATCCTGACAGCATGTCAGAATCAGATCTCACTAAAGCTCTTTGATCCTGCCTAGAGATCAGAAATTATACATTTCAAGCAAAGAGATACAAGAGATAAAATGTATCACAAAGCTTCATAAACATCGGGCCAGTCTATGAAGCTGTCAAAACAAATAGAGAGGTGACTCACTCTGCTACCTCTCTGCTATTTTTAGCTGTCAAATACGGGATTGCTATTTAGCACTCCCGTATTTGTATGCAACGGCTTCATTCTTTCATTAATGAAAGAAAGAAGCTTTTACAAAGGCTTAACTATTTCATTAATGAATGCCTCAACACTGAGGCATTCATTAATGGCTGGTAACCGCTGAGACTCAGCAGTTACCGGCATTACAGAGCCGGATATAACTTGTCACGTACAGTGTACGCGGCCAATCATATAGGCACTTTGTGACAGGACGTACAGTGTACGTCTCCCGTCACAAAGGGTTTAAAGTATCACAAAGATGACCGCTTCATACCCTTGAGTAAGCTGAGCGTGTTAGGCTGTTCAGCTGTCACCCAGGAGGTTCCCAACAATTTAGAGACAGAAAAATATAGGGAATGTTCAGAGACAATATTCCTAATTAAGGAATGTAGGAATAAAACAAACTAGGATAATAAATATGTTGCTATAGGCACTAGAAATAAGGGATTCAACAGTTTAAAAGACGCACAGGATTCAACAGCATTGATAAATTCCCCCCCACTGTAACCCTTCCCTGAAAAGGTAGATGATGCCGTCTTTAGCTCCTGCCACTACCTTCTTGCTCTATCTTCAGTGTCATCAGCTGTCTTGCAGTGGGTATCATGAAGCCATCCTCCACAAGAATATCAATTGCTGTTCGACAGCTGGGACAAAAAAAAAAAGACAACCCATTAATACATCATAAAATCCCAGTGCCTTTCAGAAACAACCATGAATGCAAAGTGCATCGCTCAGCATTACCTAGAGCTTCTATGGCAGCTTAACAAAACCACCACACCCACACCTTCAAATCAGCTAATAACTCCATCTTTAGGACTATTGGATCTGATAAAAAGTCACGTGCTGACAAACATTTGTTCCACACACACACAGTATGTCGACATATATGCTTATTGAAAACCGGAACAAAAAAAAATAGCTGCTGTCCAAATCCCATCCAATGTTTTACCCGTCTTTGTAAGCAGTTTTAGAACAAAGCATCATATAGGTTTGGGCTGCTCCAGAATAAAAGCCAGTTTATAAGAAACAAAGTTTTGGTACAACTGCTCAGTCAACGAGTAAAGAAAGGTTTATATCAGTATAGCAAAACATAAGAGAATGTTGAATTTGGAAAGAAAAAAAAAAAAGCAAGGTAAAAAAGACAGCCACAACAAGAAATGGGTGTTAGTGGAAGCTCTTAAAAGGAGCAGAAAAGAATAGTTTGAGCTTGTATTATAGAAAACAAAATTTTTGCTTTAGAAATAATAATTTTAATACATGACAAAAGGTTCCCACAACATTATTGATATCCTGCAGAGAGCGCTCAGCACAAGTTGTCCCTTAGATTTTAATAAAACACTTGAATGAAGCAGTAGAGTTGGAGGAGGAGGTGGGGGATCACTGCTTAAGGCCTTGTTAACACCAAGCGCGTTACAGGTACAGAGCAGAGCAGTTACAGACCGGATCAAAACTGCGTCCAATGTATTCCAATGGTATTTTGGGCTCTAATTCACACCGCAGCGTTCAGTTCCAGGAGCATGTAAAAAAAAAAAAAAAAACTGCAGCAAGCCCTATTTTACCTGCTCTGGAATGCATGCAAACGCCCTGGAACGCACTAAAAGCCCATTCTAAACTGAATAACATTTTTTTTTTTTACCAAAAACGTCCCGTAACGCATCAAAAATGCAGCAAAACACCCTGCACTGCGTGTGAGGAAAATCATGCAGATCTGGTCTGCATTTGGTGTGAACAAGGCCTTAACGCCTAAGTGTAGTGCACATAAGTGTTGATTGCAGCTTGAGTTACATCGCTCAGTAAACAAATTTTCTAACAAGAGGCAAGACAAAAAGGTGGAAAACAAGCTGCACATACTGGCTTCAGAATACAAATATATACCTTATTAAAAAAGAAAATCAAATAAAAAATGGCGAAATACTTGGTTATATTTTTTGTTTTCAAATGTACCAATTAAGAAAACAAAAAAGTCTCAATGGTCTGCGGGGAAGAAAACCCCCAAAAAACATGGCAGCGTTTCCCCAAATAAAAGGATACTGCACATTGCAGTTTACAAATTCATTTAATCAGCTTTATATTGGTTTAGATAGGGTAACAAAGTTTGGCCAAATGCCAAAAACTGAGTTGAATAACTAGTTCTGTTTGGGTTGTATAGTTCATAGGAGAGAGCTTGGTAAGATGATTGACATATCATAAAAAAAGCAGTATGGTATTGCCAGATGGTAGAAGCTGGAATTCTCCTTTATTGATCATAACAGGACAGTAATTGTTCAATGTAATTAATAATAATAAAAA